TTTCTTCGATAAGTTTATTCCAAGAAAGATCACCGTAGCAGTACAAACTCAACCTTGGACACAGTTTCTTCGATAAGTTTATTCCAAGAAAGATCACCGTAGCAGTACAAACTCAATTTTTTACATAGTTTCTTCGATAAGATTTTCAAGAAAGATCACCGTAGCAGTACAAACTCAACCTTGGACACAGTTTCTTCGATAAGTTTATTCCAAGAAAGATCACCGTAGCAGTACAAACTCAATTTTTTACATAGTTTCTTAGATAAGATTTTCAAGAAAGATCACCGTAGCAGTACAAACTCAACCTTGGACACAGTTTCTTCGATAAGTTTATTCCAAGAAAGATCACCGTAGCAGTACAAACTCAATTTTTTACATAGTTTCTTAGATAAGTTTTTCTTTCCAAGAAAGATTGCCGTAGCAGTACAAGCCTAATATTTTACATACTTATTTTTTTTTAGGACTTACTTCATTGTAGCTTCTAAAGTAGTGCGACCTGGTCAAATCTATCGGGTAGCCGTAACCATCTACCGTGCCATCGTTCCGATCACCGTCCAAGCGTGTATTCAGCGAGATGGAGTAGAATTAGCCTCAACAACAAAGGAGCACACGGCGAAAATACCGGAAACTTTACTCCTGAAGGTATGTCAGACTTGAGGCGTTTCTAAAGGTGGGGAACTTCGAAAGGTGTCGGATCAAATGCACTTCGATATCAAGGGCGGTAACAGATAGCACCGATGCCCTTGGGACAATATGATACCCGATGATGCGCATATAATGTTTAACTTGAGAAACGTAACTATTCTGATTCATCAACAATCGTAAAGAAAAAACTCAGAAATTCTTTAAACTCCAAAACAAAATCTATCTTTTTATTGAATACAAGTGAAAGAAATGATGCATAGTTACAGAAAAGAGTGAAATACTAATCCAAACAGAAAGATAAATCGTCTTGAAGTTTACAGAAACTCCGACAAACATAATACTAATTTGTATTATGTAAAAGCTAATTGTCAAACGCTTATCTGTGTAAATGAGCATTAAGTTAAGTGGTCCCTCTCCCGTATACAGAAGGGAATATGTTATAACTTCCCAGTTTTCAATAAAGAGAAATTATACTAATTATAATAAACATAATCTTTTAGTAGCGATATCCTTAAAACAAAGCGTCATAGTGATATATATATATATCATAAAGTAAATAGTCCATAGTGAACGGTGTAAAAAATGGTTTATTTGAGAAACTTTACAAAGAGAAAATTGCGAATTTAGTCGGGAAGTCAGCGTAGAATGTACAAAATACACCATTACATGTACGATCAGTGTCCTTGGTGTGCAAAAAGTTATGTAGGTCAAGAACTGGGCAGTTTTCTAGCTCGGTATATTGGTTTTCCTTGACTCGCATGTTCACAGGTTTTAGCAGTAGCACTACTAATATTCATGCGTTTAGTTCTAAATAAGGTTTTTAACCTTTCCGTTAGTGATGTGAGCTGTCTCATTATAACATGACGTACTTATTGAATGACAATGACGTGTCACTAGCAAACACGAGTTTCAAGTTTCATAAAACACTTTATAACGAAATTGTAACATTAGAACACTCTATCCTTCTCATGCTTTCTACATCAAAGTATTTGTTTAAAACACTACAGAACAAAACTGTAACATTAGAACACTATCCTTCTCAGGATTTTACACCAAAGCATTTGTTTAAAACACTTTAGTACAAAATTGTAACATTAGAACACTCTATCATTCTCAGGCTTTTCACACCAAAGTATTTGTTTGAAACACTTTAGTACAAAATTGTAACATTAGAACACTCTATCATTCTCAGGCTTTCTACACCAAAGTATTTGTTTAAAACACTATAGAACAAAACTGTAACATTAGAACACTATCCTTCTCAGGATTTTACACCAAAGCATTTGTTTAAAACACTTTAGTACAAAATTGTAACATTAGAACACTCTATCATTCTCAGGCTTTTCACACCAAAGTATTTGTTTGAAACACTTTAGTACAAAATTGTAACATTAGAACACTCTATCATTCTCAGGCTTTTTACACCAAAGTATTTGTTTTCTTTCTTGTTTCTTCTGGTAGAACACCTAGGAGGGACAGTGGTCAGTATTTGCACCCGTGGTGTTACTTTGCATATGATGAATAGGCTAAAACTTGAAAGTATTAAATAATAAAGTGTCAACATGCGGCTCTATCAACGCAGATAAACTCAGACCCAAACAGAGTCTGATCTTACATTGTTAAACATACTCGGTTCGGCGTTCCAACAGTCCACATGGCCAAGCTCTAGCGTCAGAAAACTTAATTTACAACGTTTATTAACTGAAGTGTACGAAAGTAGAGTAAACCGGTTGTGTTCATGTCACTCTCATGAGGGAACACTATACTGTATTTGTTGACAGTTCACACTATCTGATTACACATTTGTGTGTTTGTTGCATATTGGTCTGGTAGAAACAGTTGATTGTTGCTTAGTGCCGTACGTTCTCTTCAACCCAAACTCAGTTTAACACTTTATAGCTAATATAGTCTTAAAGTAAAAAAAAAAAAAAAACAACACATCATGACTGATTTCTGTAAAAAAAAAAAAAAAGACGCACTGGACGTTTTGTCAGAAGTTAAAAAATAAACAAAATCTCAAAGTGCGGGTCGCGGGATCGAAACCCGTCACTGATTATGATTGCCCTTTCAGCCGTTAAGGCGTTATTATGTGATGGTCTATCCCACTATTTGTTGGTAAAAGCACAAAGGTTTGGCGGTGAATGGTGTTGACTAGCTGTCTTCTCTCTCATATATCATTTCAAAATTAGGGATGGCTAGCGCACATAACTTTGCGCATAATTCAACAAACAAACAAATTATGCGCTAGGGTTAAGAGGAGTTTTCTAACACGTCTGCACAGGACGAAGAGACAAATATTATATATATATCCGTCCACACCGGAAAAAGGCAAAATGAATTATATTTTACCGCCAAATTTAGTCAAAAACACTAAAGTACACTATACCAGTATACAACGCTGCATACGTCACAAAGTAACATTTATAGGGTAGAAAAACACTTAATTGATACCAATTTGTACAAGCATCTGAGCCATTCCTTCAGATTGGCTCGTCCCTCCCCAGAGGGTCAAAGGTGAAATTCATGTCTATTTCAGTCATTACACATCCACCTTCGTGTTGATCTGAACTTGACATGAAACCAACATCTTTTAACTACCTTTCAGTATATGTTAAACATTGATGAAATATATCTTGTAATCCATACCAGAAGTTTTCTTAGAGGGAGCAAAATTGTCCGGTGATTTAGCAGCAAAAGTTCACTACTAACAGAAGGGTTTTGCAAATTTAATTATTTCACTGCTATGAACACACATATATTGGACCACTGTATAATTTTGGTTTTAGCTTTGCAAATTGTAATATCCATTACATGTCAATTTGGAGTATCGTACGGTCATGAAAATCGGATAAGTTTCCCTTTTAAACCTGATAAACTTTCCGATAAGTAATGAAATATTCAAACATATGTGTTTTTTATTTTGTATCTATAGATAAGGACGGCGCTCTAATCACATTAGGTTTAATTTTACAGGTGCCCTCTACCAGTCTACCTGGTCAGTACAAGTTGCGAATTGAAGGGAACATGAACGGAGTGCTAGGAGGAACGGCGTTCGTTAACGAAACCTTACTGGAGTTCTCCCAGAGGTCTATGACTATTTTCGTCCAGACCGATAGCCCCATCTACCGGCAGAAACAGACGGGTAAAGCACATGGATATATACTAAATGATTTAAAATAACAAGCGTAACCAACGGTAGCTAATTTTTTCAAGTTCAAAAATCATAGAAATAAACCGCAAAAGAAGAAAAATCACAACTTTCAACAATTGTATAAAGCAGTACTATTATCCCTTATATGTTACCTATAGCTAGTCCAGTATAACTGTTTAACAGTCGAGTGGTCGATGGGAAAGTCTGCTCTGTCGCGTGACGTTTGCATAAATTGCCTCCCTAGTAAATCACAAACATTGAAAGATCCACATTTGTGCAGCTGAAGAGCAGCATATAGCTCACGATGGGTACTGCGCAACAGGCTTAGCAGTTAATTGTACGAACATACGTACATTATGCTGGAGTAGTAGAAACTAATATGGCGAAAACATGTTACTTAAAGTGTGAGCATGTCTTAGAAAGTTAAATAACCTTGCGTAAGCGTATTCAAAACAACATTTTTAGTTGATTTTATGGGATCTTATGATTTCGCTCGGAACGGAAAATTTACGTCACCTTCTTAGAAAGAGTTTATAGTTTTATGAAACTAAACTCCTCTCAGGTAGCCCATGTAACCCCTCTGTAGTTTCATCATTTTTTTCTGTTGAAAACAGTACCAATTATCGTGCAAAACTTAATGTTTACATACGTATTTGAGATGCCAATAGTATATCTACAAAATGTACCAACTATATATATATATATCAACTGTTTGAAAGGTGTCTTAGGTTCTTCTGCTAGATAATACGTAGCTAAAAAATGTGCCAAAACAAACTATATGTCAGCTGCTGGAAAAGTGTTTCAGATTACTCTGTTATATAATATTACAGATACAAAATGTATAAAAAATTATAGGTCATATGCTTGAAAAATGCCTCAGGTTGTTAATCTGCTAAATAATATTATTCTACCAAATAATATCGTAGCTACAAAATGTGCAAAAAAAAATCAACTGTTTAAAAGGTGTCTCAGGTTATTCTGATGAATAGCGTCATAGCTATAAGATGGGCCAAAGAAAAACAATTTTTCGGAAAAGTAACGTTCAAGATACTTATAGTTACCTTGTCGCTGATAAACTTAAAGTCAGTGTGTCACTACGAAATAACTATTGATAAACTTGAAATCGGAGTATCGCTTATAAATAACAATTGATACGCTTGAGATCAGAGTGTCGCTAGTAAATAACTATTGATGTCACAGGGAAATAAACGTTGAAACCTGTAGTCAATGTGTGGCAAGAAAATCACGTTAAATAACTTGAAATCAGAACGTCTGGAAATAACCGCTAAAAACCTGCCCAAAGTATCTGAAACTTGTGTCAATGTCTCTCAGGAGAAAAGCATGTTTTGTGTTTCTTAGTGAATCAATAATTGGCAACTTTCTAGTCAGCATGTTTCAGGAAGAGCCTTTAAAAATGTTTGTGATTAATAGTCTTAAAAAGATGTTTCTGTATAAGAGTTGTTTAAAAAAGTAAACTGTAATTTTTTGTTTGTTTGATTGCTTCATGTTTGGTTTCGGGCCTTCCGGTGGGACAGCGATAAGTCTTCGGATTTACAACGCTAATATCAGGGGTTTGATTCTCCTCGTTGAACACAGCAGATAGCTCGATGTGGCTTTGCTATAACAAAATACATACACACACATGTTTAGTTTCGTAAAGCTAAAACATTCATGTTTTAGAAGACGTTTTAAACCTAAAAGTGTTCAGATGAAACCGTCAGTGATGTAGTTATTGTTATTTCATTCAAACTCTTCTAGAAATCTACGCTACAAAACAATGATGTGTAAATGTGTATAACCTTCAGTGATGTAGTTGTTATTATTTCATTTAAACTATTCTAGAACTTTACACTACGAAACAATGATGTGTAAATGTGTATAACCTTCAGAGTCTTGTACTGAAATATTACTCAAGAGAGAAAACAATGTAGTACAGTGACAGAAGAACAATGTCACAACCTTTACACACACATATATATGTCATTCATGCAGCGTAATTTATACATTTAGACCTATACCTCCACTTCTATATATGGGCAACATTGCATCAATGATTGTTTATTGTATTCTACTGTACGTTGTCAAATTTCGTGGATATGCTGGTTCAAAAAATTTCAACGTTAATATATATTTTATTACCTGTACAAAACAACAATATACTAACAAAGTACCAATAGCTGTCCTAACTATGTATAATAGAATAGACCATTCACCTCATTTAAATACATTTGATATAATTGTACACCAATAAGGAATTAGAGATTATGAGTATTAGAACAAACTGATTAATTGCTTAAAATCCAAACTCTATTAATTTGTTTTTGTCATTTTTCTTGTGTGAATTTAAGTAAATCTTATAAACAACATTTCCTTTTTATTTTCTATATTCAGAACTTAAAAGTAAAACACTCGCAAAATAATCTTAAATTGTATTTAATGAAATAAATGTAAATAAATATTGCGTATGCCTATAATTTATGAGATTTTTCAGTCCATTTTAGAACGATTCCAATCACAACCGACCTAAAAGCGTTTTCTGATGCCGTTGATGTTTACATGTTGGACCCCAGAGGAACGATTATGAAGAGGTGGCTTTCTCGCCAGACGAACTTAGGTACGTCCAGGTACTATTGATAGTGATGAGGAATCACTAACAATAGTACCTGGACTTATCAAAATCACCCCTCATCACTAACAATAGTACCTGAACGTATCAAGATCATTCCTCATCACTAACAATAGTACCTGGACTTATCAAAATCATCCCTCGTCACTAACAATAGTACCTGGACTTATCAAAGTCATCCCTCATCACTAACAATAGTACCTGGACGTATCAAGATCATCCCTCATCACTAACAATAGTACCTGGACTTATCAAAATCATACCTTATCACTAACAATAGTACCTGGACTTATCAAAATCACCCCTCATCACTAACAATAGTACCTGAACGTATCAAGATCATTCCTCATCACTAACAATAGTACCTGTACGTATCAAAATCATCCCTCATCACTATCAATAGTACCTGGACGTATCAAAATCATGAGGGATGATCTTGATACGTCCAGGTACTATTGTTAGTGATGAGGGAACCTGGACTTATCAAAATCAAACTATTGTTAGTGATAAGGTATGATTTTGATAAGTCCAGGTACTATTGTTAGTGATAAGGGGTGATTTTGATAAGTCCATGTACTATTGTTAGTGATAAGGGGTGATTTTGATAAGTCCAGGTACTATT